CCATCCAATTGAGTGCTTATTTTTATAACATAATATCGGTAGGATTCTGAACATCTTGGCGGTGATCCATGAAAGTGGGCATCGGTCTTCAGAACATGACTCACCGTTACCTATGGATCATTGTGGGACAAAACTGAGGAAACCGACTATTATCCAATGCAATGGCTATTTTTCTTCACATCTCTAATCTTTACAATGATACGCATAAACTAGGTCTTAGACCAGCTAACCAGGACGTTCAGATTGACCCGAAGTGCACGCACGGATGCATCTCCAAGTGCTTCGCTCCAGATTTACATACCACCAGTATATGGTAACACTGGGAATTTGATGACATATATGTATTCAGTACTCTACTAAATACTGGTTTCTATGAAGAACACTTGGAGTTTATCCTTTCTGATCAAAAGATCCCGGCCCAGTAAAATCAGAAGCCAGGAGTGTAGGGGTTCGAAGATACATTTGGAAGGTATTCGTAGTGGCAAAAAGTGCTTGACTTAGTCTGACTAGCTGTTGAGAAGGATGTGTTTCAAGGGAGTACGCAATGGTGACCTGATGCACATGCGCGATCTAACGCCTTCAGCTAGGATGTGTTTAGTAAGATTAATGAGGTCAGAAACATAGTCGGGGACCGACAGGAATATTTATTTTGGGATCTACATACCGCTGAAGAGCTTTCAAGTCCAGCCTAAATGGATAATAAGTGCCTCTAGGTTGGAGCCTCGATATACTAAAGAAAAAGCGAAGTGGAAAATTTAGAAGTTCAGTTTTGGGTACTGTGTTGGATCCATGACAAAACATGTTTTCCTTTAGGAGTCTTTCAGTAGACTTGATTGGACTTATTTGGACATAAGGAAATGTGAAATTTTGTCCACTTCTTCTGAAAAGTAATAATTTTTTGTGACATCAGATACATGCGATTTTCATTGATTTACCACTAAAGCGACTTTGTCCATCTCTTTCTTGCTATAGGGAAGTTGACTATGCACGATAATCCCTCGATGAAATCTTGCACGATGTTTAACGAGTTGTTGGCTTTCATGGACGTTTTGGTGGTCTTCTAAATTATACCCAAAAATATCTTGACTTCCATGATGAGATTGACAGTGTGGTGGACCAAACAGATATGAACACAAAAAAATATAAACAAAGTTATTAAAATCAATAGTAATATTAATATATATAATTAATTGTCACAAATACGATAAAAATTGGGGACGTTACTTAAATTGATCAGACGTCGCGTGTTAGGATTAGGTCCAGTAAAGTAAATCCACAATTATAAATGTTTGTTGATTCTGAACAAGTTGGTGAACTCTCTAATGATATAATCCAACGTTGAATGTGATATATTTCGGTTACAGTCTATAAATGAAGATAGAATTTGATTTAGACTTCGGATATCTCAATCACAAATGGAAATAGAACGATGAGTGTGCGAGAAGCGTTGTATTTGTTAGCTAGCAGCGGTATGGCACGCAATGTAGTAGTACAACGGAAAGTGTGTTCAAGGTCATTTACTAAAACAACAGTTACAGTCATTTAATGTTAAATATACATACAGTGGAAGGTTGACAAAGTAAATACAAATAACATTGAAAACTATTTACAAAATAAGCTTGACAGGTCCATCTCCACATAGCTCCCCCCAGAGTGTCCGGAGGTAACACTGGTTATAATAGAAAAAATGTAAGGGTGTGATATATACATGTATACAAAAATAATATTTACAGTTATAACCAACAAAAATGTGGAGATGAGTATGACGTGTAGTAGAGATGTAGCATAGTATAATAAGCACACACACACAAAAAAAATGAAGACACTGTCATTTAATGCCTTGGTTGGCTGACAATGATAATAATAATGTGTAAAAATGCTAAAGAGCCAAAAAAAATTGAACTGTTTATGTTTGTATACGATAAATGAATAACTAAACAGAGTTTACTCGTTTATTAGTGTGACAAAAACAAAACAAAATTTTTTTTTTTTAAAAAACTGACAAAACGAGTAATTGTGGAAAAATGTGATTATGTACACTGTGAAAAGGAAAAAAAAATTTTTTGGGTGAAATTAGTAGTGTGTGACATAGAGAGGTGTGTGTTTTGCTTTTTTTTTAATCAACGAAATGGACATAACGCTTGGGTTTGTTTATAGGTCTACCGGAGCGTGTTAAACAAGGGGGCTTAGTATTAAGTTTTTTATCCTCCATTGGTTGTTCAGTCGCTGGTGGGAGGGGTTGATTATCAACGGCGTTGTCTTCCTTGACTTGAGTAGCTTCACAGAAAGCAGGTTTTATTCTGTCTATAGAAATAGTCTGCTTGTTGCCATCTCTGTTGACGATGAAGTATTTTTGTGTGCGTTTAATTACTTTATATGGACCTTTATATGGTTGTTTCAATGGTTTTTTAACCGTATCTACTCGGACAAAGACAAATTTGCACGTTTCAAGGTTTTTATCAAGTTGGACTCGATTGTTGTGTTCACGAGGGGGTATTGCTTTAATATTCTGCATAGTTTGTAATAGGCGACTTGCGAAGTGAGTAGTCTCTCCTGGCGTTGTAGGTTCATAGTTGACTAGTTGGCCAGGTAACGTTAGAGTTGTACCATAGACTAACTCGGCGGCTGTACATCCAATGTCTTCCTTTATGGTTGAACGAATACCGAGGAGTACAAGTGGTAATGCGTCACTCCATTTGGTTGTATCATCTTGGGCCATCAGCGAGCTTTTTAATTGGCGATGAAATCTTTCAACCATGCCATTAGCTGCTGGGTGGTAAGCTGTTGTTTTGATGTGGTTCACGCCCAGAAGTCTTGTAAATTCCTGAAACAAGATAGACTGAAACTGGGGACCACGGTCTGTAGTGACGATAGAAGGTACTCCGTAATTTGCTATCCAACGCTCAAGGAAAACGCCAGCTATCGTTTCTGCGGAAGTGTCTTTTATGGGGCAGGCTATGGCCCATCTTGTAAATCTGTCTACTGCGGTGAGAATGTGGGTAAAGGAATTGGACGGGGGCAGTGGCCCAACTAAATCCAAATGAATATGTTGAAAACGTTTGTCGGGAATAGGAAATTCGCCGATCGGGCTGATAGTATGTTTTTGTATTTTGCTGCGTTGACACTGGAGGCAGCTACGTGTCCAACGCTTAACGTCCGAGTTGATTTTCGGCCACACAAAACGTTCAGTGATGAGCCTTGTTGTTGCTCTGATGCCTGGATGTGAAAGACCGTGTAAGTGCTGAAATATTTTTCGTCTGCAGGCATGTGGGACAAACGGACGATTGCTGCCTGTTGAGGTGTCACACATGATGAATGCATCTGAAAGCGGAATTGGTACAGGTTTGAGGTTTAAGCTAGACTTTTCTTTGCAGACTTTCAACTCTGCATCGTCTACTTGAAGTTTAGCCAAAGTTTCAAGGCTGATGTCATGATTGCGTACCATCATATTGATATCTCTCCTAGACAGTGCATCAGCGACAATGTTTGAGTGACCGTTGATAAACCGGATGTCTGTAGTGAATTGGGAGATGTAATCCAATTGTCTTGCTTCTCGTGGCGAGTGTTTGTCATACGATGTGCCAAAAGAATGGCAAAGGGGTTTATGATCCGTCATAATGATGAAATCGCGACCCTGTAACAGAAAACTGAAATGTTTTACCGCTAAATACATAGCCAAGAGTTCGCGTCCAAAAGTGCTATAACGTTCTTGTGTTGGTGATAATCTCTTGGAGAAAAAGGCGATTGGGGTAATCGAGTTGTTTACTCGCTGTTGTAATACCGCCCCGACGGCTTTTTGTGAAGCGTCTGTGCATAGGATCAACTGTGTTGTGGGGTCAGTATTTAGATGTTGAAGCATGGTAGCATTAGCAATCATGGATTTAGCTTTTTCGAATGCTACTTTAGCATCAGAAGGTAACTTAAATATTTGGTTTTTTTCTTTCTTGGTACCTGATTTATCATTTTTCAGTAAATCTGTCAATGGCTGTAGTACATCGGCGCAATTTGGTAGAAATCGACGATAAAAATTGCATGTTCCCAGAAAACGACGTAGTGATTTTACTGAGGTTGGTTCTGGGTAGCTGGAGATGGCTTTGACTTTTTCTTCAAGCGGTTTAATTCCTTGGGAATCAATATGGTGTCCTAGGAATTCCAGAGATGAGGCTCCAAATATGCACTTCGAAGGGTTGATTACAACACCATAACTTTTGAAACGTTCAAAAAGCGTGTGTAAATGCTGGACATGTTCTTCAGTGGAAGAACTAGCGATTAAAACGTCGTCGATATAGACAAATACAAATTCCAAACCTCTAGTTACTTCATCCATATATCTCTGAAAGGTTTGAGCGGCGTTTTTTAGTCCGAAAGGCATCCTCAAAAATTCAAACAAGCCAAAAGGTGTTATTACAGCTGTTTTTTCGATATCTTCAGGCGCCATCGGTATTTGATGGTATGCTCGTACTAGATCTAACTTTGAAAAAATCTGTTTTCCATGTAAATTTAAAGAAAAATCATGTAAATGAGGGATTGGATACCTGTCTGGGATAGTCTGGTTATTTAGTCGGCGATAATCTCCACAACAGGTTTACAGATTGATAATTCAAATTAGCGACTGGTAACTAGAATGAAAATAGGATACAATAACAAGAATTGGGAAAGTTTGGACCCAAAATCAGTTTTAAAGTTTAGAATTAGATAGCAATCTTAAAATAAAAATAGTCGTAATAAAACATATTTAGTGTTCAGTGGTTGAGATTGTCATTCCCTGCAGATTCCCCGAAATATGTAACTGCCCAACTACCATCTTTATGACTTTTAAAAAAGTGATGTGATACTTTCATAATGACCCAGAATGGCTTCTCAATGAATTATCACTTATTCCCCCCATTTCTTTTCTCATAATCTTTTATCTTTGCTTAGAGGGATCGTCAACCCATTTAGATTGCGTACCTCAATTCGTCAAAAATCAGCTTCTCATAATTTATCTGTACTTATTTAAAATAATTTATGACATTAGCATCTGGTTGTTTATCTGCGCTACCGGGGTCCATCTTGGTCGGCTTTGGGGCATACATATTGCTTCGTGTAAGTTGTTTTGTTTTTTCCCGTCGATACCAAATATCGTTCATTTCTCAGGTTCTTTACTTTAGGGGTAACCATTCATGTTTCGCCTGTAGATGACTATGATATTGTCGGTTGTAATGGTGTCACAGTAACGTGAATCTCCAAGATTTACATGTAAACGTATTTCATTCCGACTACGTAGTTTAGGGGCGGTGGTGAATGTTCCTCAAGGGAAGTCTTACTTCGTGTTGTTGCTAAATAACCTGTTTGTCACATTTGGAGACCACTGGCTACAGACACGCAAACACAACTTGTTTAGATTCAGATTTGTGTAGTAAAAACAGAAGGCCTACGGCCTGTTATTCCTTTTCTAGTGTGCTTCTGTGAGTGTCCTGTCTTCTCTTGAAAGAGTCAATTGAAGGTGCGGACACCACTGCTTCGGGCAGCAGGTTCCAATTGGAACCTTAAGTATTGATGACTCGGTGTGAAAACCTGTATGCCATGGGTATTTTGTTCGTTCTTGGCTTTTCTACTCGTCCGCTATATCCTCTGAGATGTTCCGATCAAACGATAAATTTCGATTTAGCATAAAGTCCATCATTTGATGTACCGAATGACACATTTAGATTTATCTGTTGAACACTGTTGACCAAACATTTTGCCCCAATCTCCTTATTTTGGGGTTTTCCCTAAAGTTTGGAGAATTTCCCTAAACTGATAGAATTTTCCCCAAAATTTAAAAGTGGGACGTTAGCTTGTTTTTATTAAGCTTCCATGAGTGTAAATTCTCTTCAATAAGTTGATTAAAAATATGGACACTCCTTCAGTTAGTGGTTCTTAAGAGTTGGCAACCCAATGGGAGGACCTGTGATGCCTAGGGGATATCGTCTGTTCTCGTCTTCTCAATTTTGTTTCCCATGAGTTATCCTGGCATAGTTGTGGGAGGGGGATCCAAACTCATTTAGTATCCTGTACATCAAAATTAGTTCACTTCAAGTTTCTAAAAGACTTCTCAGGTCTGTATGGTAAGCCTCAGTCCCGAAGTTTCCCAGAAAGCTGCCTACTACTTTGAACGAATGTTTGTGGCCTGAATACAGTTTTTAGTTTGGACTTTATATGACCTGTATATACCGTATATAACATATCTGTATCCAACTTAGTAAATAGTCGAAACACATGTAGTTCCAAATCCCTCTAACCCTGGTCAGTAGTAAGCCGTAGACTTATGTCGTAACTCTCACCCATAATTCATTGAGACAAGACAAGGGGCACTGACGCTTCACAAAACCAACATAAACATGTCCGACGTGTCTATAGACTGGATGAAAATGATAGATGTTGGCTACTTTTAGAACAGCTTATCAGGGAGTCTAGACCGGTCTGGAGTGCCCACATCGTCATCTTCCGTCACTTTCTGGATCTTTAGTTTGCCTGCGTAAAGTAGCATCGACGAATCACTCAAATTGATTTAAAAACCGAAAGATCTGAAATGATACCTCGCGGTACGTCACGAAGCATCAATTCCCTCAAAGAGCATTTATAATCTCTTTTTGCCTATCAAAAAGTCTTTGATCCACTTAAGCGCGGATCCAAAAACGAAACTTCTCAGTTTCAATAGGAACCTACTATGCGTCACCCTATCAAACGCTCATCTGAAGTTTTTCCAGTCAGCCAGTAACAACATAGAACTTCGTACGTACGTACATCAGTTCAAGTTGCCATACCACATCAGCACACATATGCAATTGTCGACTAAAATCTCATTGTGGTAGAGGTAATGAAAGTATAAGTAGTAATCGGAAAGATTAGGGTTTGAAGATGTTATTCAAGGAGTATAATCCAGTGAAATAAATTTGGAAAGAGAAAAAAGAAAATTACATGAAGGATTCAGATTATAATTTCGGAGAACACAAAGAGTGGATGCACCTGCTCACACCATTGCAAACGATTTTCAGCCATGTCATTCAAGGTCTCTAGCCATCGGTTGCTGTCGTCTCACGAATCCCAACCAGGTAGTCTACACCTACCAACATGGCTCAGTCCACTTGTGAGTGACTTCATGGATTTGTGCCATGTTTTGGTCTGGTAGCCCCTAGCTTTCTTCCAACCTGCTCCTACACCATGAAACATCGCATGTCGTGGCAGTCGGTGGTTGGACATACGTAACACACTATCCAGCCATCTCAACTGATAAAGTTCCACCACTACATCAATTGATTTGCCATCCTTACCTAGTGCCCGTTTCTTAACAACTATGTTACTTACTCGATGGTTCCAGGATATACGAGCAATCCTTCGAAGACACCTATGATCAAATACTAGTAACCTACGAATATTCTCTACTCTTACCGACCATGTTTCACTGCCATAAAGTAGGATGGAGTGAACTGCTGCACAATAAAGTGTCATTTGGTTGATAGACGGATATTTCGCCTACGCCATAAATGACGCAAGTTGGTAAAAGCTAGTAGAGCGTTCTGTATCCGTGCTGAAATTGCGTCACCCATCAGACTACAAGGGCTGATGAGACTCAAGATAAGTGAAGCGGTCGACCTGCTCAACTACTTCATTTCCTGTCATTAGTTTAAATTTCAATGCAACCCAATCCCGAAGCAACATTTTTCATTTCAAAGTTTTCACAAACAACATTCATTAGTTGCATGTGGGGCTAATCCTAAGTTAAAATTAAGAGCATGTGTAAACATCGTCTCAAAATAATCAGCTATGACTTTTGCTTTAACATTGTTTTCTATCATTCGAGATGCACTTCCTTTTGTAATTAGTTTAGGGATCCATGGGTGGGTTTTGTAATAGACTTATGCAAATAATCGTTTCGACTTCTTGGTTTCAGCTGGCATCAGTTGGTTTCTATACTTCTAAATGGCACGGATTGTACCGGTGCATTTATCCCTGGTCGATTTGTACTAAGACGAGTAAACCTCAAATTTGATTTTGGATGTAGGGCAGTGTATCTAAGTACAGTAATTTCCGTTAGTCTTTAATTTTCACTGAATCAGCAAGCACTGCTCAGGTCTCGATTTCATAATCATCTTGGGTGATTATAGTCCATTTTGTTTATTTTCTTTCAGGAAACACAAGTTATCCATTGGGCAAGATTCGACCAATAATTTAACCCCTTTTTGGTCTCATGTTTGAATTTCCCATTGACGTGGTACAGTTTACTTTCAATTGAGAGGTCAAATATTAAAGTCCAGCCCTTTGAGCGAATATATATACTGGTACAAGAGGGCACCAAATACATATGCGCCACACTTTGTCATCCTATTTGTATGAGGGCTGGGATACTGCCCGTGTGCGCAAACCGAGGCATGTGGCTTCCCTAGAGGGCCACTCCTCGGGCCTTTGACCTAGAGGTCGAATCCACAAGTCAACGGGACAACTTTAGCAGATGCAGTCCCATGATAGCCGGTGGCCAACAATAGGTTCATACGCCTTTTGTTTCCCCAGGATTCTGTAACCCATGTGTAACATCTGGGTTTTCCAACTACCCTAGGTAAACCCTCAGTGTTTACCAACTAACGGAAATTCCAAAAATCAAATCATTGACTTAATGGTAGTTTTGTACACCATTCACAACTTAACATCTTGTTTCATATTGGTTCCTTTAAAGTATTCGGTAATTACTCTAACCGGTTACTGTGTCCCTTAAGTCACACTTTATGAATCGGTGACCCTACTTGGGTGCTAAACTAAAGTAATTGTAAGTAGTTATAGCCAATGCGCCACCCCTCTAGATATGGGCTGAGTAAAACATGTAATCGTTCTTGTTTCCACTTGGAAATGTTTTTGTAGATGTTCATTAGTTTATGCGTTGCTCAAAGTATGAAATTTCGAAATTTGTGTTAATCGAAACTAATAACTGGGGCAACCCGTAAAAAATAGGTCGAATGATAAAAATACGAATTTTTTAATTTCTATTTTGTCTTGAAAATCAAATGAAGAGGCCGTTTTCCAGTGAAAAGTTCACGGACCGTTTTACCTTTTTATCTATACCTATTCATATAGACATGGTAAAGGACAAGTCATATTAAACAATAATCCAGTGTTGTCTAATTTTTTTATTCTGAAAATCTCCTGGTTCCAGTGATACATTTTGATTTACTCTTGTTGCAGAACAAAAAATGTCTGTCATCATTCGACTCCAAAACCTACCAATTTCAGCGAACGCCTCAAATATTCGACGCTTTTTCAGCGGGTTATCCATTCCTGAAGGGGGCGTGCACATCGTCGGGGGCACGGAAGGTGACGCATTTATTGCCTTTGCTACAGATGAAGATGCAAGAAAAGCTATGCTGCTTGATCGACAAACGATCAACGGGGCATCTGTTCGCCTGTTTCTGAGCAGTAAAGCCGAAATGCAGTCAATAATCGAATCTGCAAAAACTTCAGCCTTATTTTCCAGTGGAGGAAATCCGGTTTTATCTCAATCTATCTCTCAAAAGACTGAAACTATGCATGCACTAGATGTGACAGCTCCTACACTGCCCAGTTCCTTCCCATCGTATCGTAATGGAGCCACTCGTGAATCATTTGATGACTCCTCCAAGCAGTATCCTTACACCTATAGCAAAGGTGTAACCCTGGATCCCCCTCGTGGACAAATTGAATCAGCTGAACGTAACAACCCGGACAAATATCCCGAAAATTTACCTCCAGACAGACCTCATTTTAGTCAGGATCGAGATTATAGTTACAATAACCAACCTAACATGCATTCAAGGTATGATGCGATACGAGACTTCCCACCGACTAACGACTATGGTTCAAGAGATACTTACTTGAATAACCGAAGTGACTTAGGACATAGATCTTATCGCGATGATTACGATTATAGTAGGCACCCGCCATCGGTTACTTCTGAAGACAACTTCGTCCCGAGAGGCAAAGACAATGAAGGCAAAAGTAGTCCAAGGGACTCTTATGCTGATCATTATTCTGCGCTACACGTCTCGGATGGTATGACGACAGATTATGATAAGTACCGTGCACAATCTCCTAGAGTATTCAATGATCGGTTCCCTCCACATGATATTCAATCACGTGAATTTGGTCATGGAAATACCCACCCGTTTCCATCAGAATTTAGAAGTGGCCCGGGTCATCCGCTTGATCGTGAAACTGCATGCACTAATTCTAGGTTGCAAGAGGAACGCGATTTTTCCGTTAGACCTCCGTGGCTCAATGATAATCCACCCGTTTCAGGACCAAAGCGTCCATTCCAGCATCAGACTTCAGACTTTGAAGAGTACCCACGAAAACGTCGACCACAACCCTCATCATATACTCGCCCATCTGACATAGTGCCTGGAGAAACTGATTACGTATTAAGAGTTTGTTTGCCCGCCCCAGAAGCTGGGATAAAGACTGTTTTCGAAGTTTTACGTGGTGTCCAAGTTGTTCCAAAATGGGGTATCCGGGTTGAAGAAGATTTGCTACAACGTCCCACTGGGTATGTGTTTATAATGATGACAACTCGTGATTCGTATGAACGAGCACTCAGTTTTAATAATCGTCCTCACAAAGGAGACGTGATAAAAGTAGTCAAATGTACCCTAAGTGAATTTTACAGTGTTAGTGATACAAACTTTACTTCAAAATGCCCTCCAGAGGCTGCCAAAAAACTTCCACCACCTGATCAGTCCTACCCTCCTCATTACAACGATGGTTGTCTTGAGCTAGCTGAGCTCCCATCTGATACCACCAAGACAGAAGTAGTTCGGTTTTTGGGTGCTCCTGGTCTAACTTGTGAAAATGTTGTACTGGCTCGGTTCCCTCCAAATGATAAGTCTGCACCACGCAGTACCAACTTAACTAGGGCACTAGTTACGCTTCCTTCTGCAGAGGATATCAAAATCCTTCTTTCTGCCAAACCACGGCCATTTCGACCAGATGTGGGACTTCCATCAGTGCGCTTAACACCAATATCAAAGTTGCAAGTCACTGCTTATTCAGCCTTAGCGATCGGTAGTAAATCTGAAAGTACTAAAGAGTCTATCAAACCACCTGTTTCTCATGATGTCGATTCGGAGCCTACTAAACCACCTGGTGGCTTTTTGACATGTGCTTGTGTCAGTGGGTTTTCTCGCACAGTGAAAGATTCTGAAGTTCTGAATCTGTTTCCGTCCATCCTGATTCCTGGAGATGCGGTACGACTGGCTCCTGATGCTAATATTGCTTTCATTGATTTCATTAGTGAGAACAACTGTCGTCGTGCTGTAAATGAAGCATCGACTGAAGGTTCTAAGGCAAAACAGTCACATCCATCTCTTCATATAGAAGCCATTTCTCGAGAGGAAATGCTGAGCCGTTTGGGTGCCGATCCAAAAGATGAACAACTGAACTTTGACAGACCTGGAAGATCTCGTGACAGAGATCCTCGGGAATCCCGCATCCATTGGGACCAACGCCAGCGTCCGTCACCTTCGAATCCATTTGAGGGCCGTCCCCCAAGTGTAGGCAGAGCTAAGTACGATGACTCTTACTATGACCGCCCCGCTATACCTGCCCCTTTTGATGACCATCACGACTCCTTCCGTAGGTTCCGCCCGCCTGTGGATAATTTACATTCTATCCCACCACACCAATCAGATATTTCATCTGTTCCGAGGCAACCTGTTCCTCTTCCACATCGTCGCCCTGTTCCTGACTTTGTTACAGTTTTTGTCGGCAATCTTCCACCCGCATGTACAGTTGATCAACTAGCTGGAATAATGCGGGATTATTACTTCGTTCCGGGTTCGATAAGACTACGCCGTGATCCTCAAGGGCAGTTTGTTGGTGAAGCGTTAGTTGATTTCAAAACAAGTTACGAAGCTGATAGGGCGCTCAGAGGACTAAATGGATATCGAGTAGCTGGTCGACCCTTGGTATTGCATTTTGATCACCGGAAGTAACAGGTAAGATTTTTATTTATTTTATATTGTAGGACTACTCGTAAACTTTTTATGTAAAGTAACTGCTTGCATTTTTGAAAATCTTTGTGTAACTTAGTTATTTTCTGAGATTTGAAACTAGAATTTGACTCAATATATCAATCCCTTTAATAAGTCCTAGTCTTTTTTCTCATATATGGGTCAAATCGTACCCAATGACTAAGTTAGTTTGTACCAAAACATTTACGTGCATCCTCTCGATTCATTAGTATTTCTATATTTTGGGTGTGTTTATTGTGAGATCCTTGTTAGCATTTCCTTCAAAATACTTTCAGCCACTGTTTCCAGATGATATCAAACTACACCATTTATTTCACAAATTGAGAACATAACTTATGGCGTAAATTAACTATAAAATCTCGCTTTGTAAGCATATTTGAAAGTTAGTCCACTGGTCAACTACCAGTGAGTACTGTGAATACGTTTCTAAGGGAGATATCCAGTGTAGGATTTCCGTATTCTCGTTAATGATCACTTGTAGGATTTTGAAACATGTTTATTACCATCCAATCGATTATCAATGTTAAGGACGTTTTAACTCTTTATATTTGATGTGTTCGCATTTTACGATGTTGAAGTGTATATCGTTGAGTTTATTCGTTCATAGTTCCTGTAAATTTTGATAAGTTTGTTCTTTAACTTTCATAACACGATGATAAAGTATTTGTTACGTCAGTCTGGATTTCTGGTAAGCATTTCATATGATATTATTTGATTTAGGAGATCCAACGGATCGCGAACTTCCCATAAGTTCCATTAAATTTTAATATTTGTATATAGCGTGAGAATTATTTAATACAATAGGAAGGTAGGGGATATGCTATAAAAATCATCTTAAAAGAAATAAAAACCATCTAATTAAGTAGTTCAGTAATGTCATAACCAAGATAGATGTCTGCGATTAAAGGTGTGCGTCATATCAAATTTTAAAATTTGCTATCGAGAATTAATAGTACCGTCACCTACTCTATTCTAAACCATGTCACTGAATCAAGTTATCTTTGAGGTCCTATCTGGAGTGTTACAGTAACGCACTAACTCAAGTTATCCTTCACTACACCATATCATAGACTTTCTTCCCTCGCACTGTCCCAGTGTCATCGAATCAAAGGTACGGTAATAATCACTGGTATACATTCAGCGTGCCATAGTTATTATTCTAAGGAGGTAGGGCCAATTGAATTATGATCATTATTATTTCTAACTCCAAGTATTCAGTGCCAACAGTCCTTCGTAAATAGCGACCATAGGCGGTTACTAAAAATCCTTTATCCGAAGTCAAGTTTTATTAGCATGAATCACATCATTATGCCCGAAATAGTTTTGTAAGATGTTACTGAACTGACATAAGAATCTGACTTTCTCCATCCGTAGATTAATTTAACTAGTCATATTATCATTATCACTCACATGACTCGTTGATACCGTTTTTAAAAGTGTATGCAAGAAAAAAATCTTGACAACCATGTAAATCAATCGGCTGATATATACCTAACCAAATGCTCATTATATGCATTTTGTAATCTTTTTTAAGAAATGAGTAAGACAGTTATTTCAGAATGGTAGATATTTTGCAGTCAAGAGGCGTAATATAGCGGTCAAAGTCTCTATAGCGAAGGTGAATTTGAGCTGCCAAAGTGCTCTTTAGTGTTCTAAATGTATACGAAAGTTTTGAATTAACCAACTATTATCTCACGTTTTATTTCACCCATACTAGGATTTTAACAGCCGATAGGTGGGAATAGCTCTCGGCGTCAATCAAATGCGTTGTTATTGTGTACAATTTGACATTGGGATCCAATCACCAGGTTTCTTGACCGTTAAATTTTGTACAAGACTTCGCTACCGAGAATTACGCTTCACCGATGAGCGTCTAAAACAACATTACGAGTCCTTAAAAACCCTGAGTTGATAAGTACAGCATCTCACAGAGTTGCATGCAATTTTAGCTTACCGTCTTCAACCGACTGTTAGTAAGCCTCTAATCAACTCATATACACTCAGTACGATGCTACAATCAGCAAGATTGGGCAACGAGACTTAATTTACTTTAATAAAGTGCTTAAAATGACTTGACAAAATGGGAAATTTCGGATAATCATTATAATCTTGAATACAAGTCTCGGATACATCATAAGACCGAAGTTTCCCATTGTGCTTGTAAGCAGTAACTGTCTCTTGTGTCGAATGATACACGTTAACTAATATATGTGGTTTCAATGTAGTCACAAGTGTGGGACTTCTAGTCGAAATGAGAATTCCGACAACGATAGGGTAATTAGTCAATTTTTAAATTTGAATGGAAGGATTAAGAGTTACATGTGAGCAATGCATTAGTGTAGGTCGGTATAAGGTGCAGTTGTTTGCATTAACGTAATTTTGACCTTTAAGAACTACCCTATAAGACTAGTAATGTACGTTCTCATTTAAAGTTGTCACGGTTCCTGTAAAAGCATTTTAATCGGAGCGAATTTGTTTCCTTACGAACTTTTGATTTGAATTTCATATTCACAAGACAGTCAAGCGACGTGAGAAATTCGTTGGTTGGGTAGCAGGTGATAGATGTGCGTTCACTCACGATCATGGCGATAATATATTCGAGGTTTTCCAATTATATAGCCATTGAACTGACTTCACCACCGGACATTCATGTACTATCCTTCCCTTCATTTAAAGTTGTCACGGTTCCTGTAAAAGCATTTTAATCGGAGCGAATTTTTTTCCTTACGAACTTTTGATTTGAATTTCATATTCACAAGACAGTCAAGCGACGTGAGAAATTCGTTGGTTGGGTAGCAGGTGATAGATGTGCGTTCACTCACGATCATGGCGATAATATATTCGAGGTTTTCCAATTATATATCCATTGAACTGACTTCACCACCGGACATTCATGTACTATCCTTCCCTTTAGTGGAAGAACTCACCACAATAATGTGGTGAGGCTATAAACGCTCGACCGTGTGAAGCGTATTTTATTGAAAATAGCTGCGCCCATCAAGTAAAAAAGAATATTACAACTGAGCTCAGCTCAGGTCGTGTTGTTATTGTTATAGACTCATGCGTAGATCATATTTAGTCATGAAAATGGTAAATGAAGGAAAATAGGCCTCGGAACGTAGTGATTGCCTCGGTGACGAAATGAATTATAGATGTTAGTCGTTTATTACAATAGTTTCATTGTCGGTTGATCATCTGTTATTACTTATTCCAGTCCTTAGTTGGCATGTTTTTTTTCTGGACTGACGAACTTAGTGTTAGCTAATTTAATTGAAGTTTTCAGCATTTCATTGTTTACAAATAAGGCTCTGTTGTTGAGAGTATTTTTTTTCTCTAAAGATATTGATTTGTTATGCGTTTGAGCTGAACCGAACTGGAGACAAGTTTTTTTTTCTTTTTGTGTTTAACGAGTAAATGAACGTTAAGTTTTGTCAAATTAAGTAACGCTCATGTTAATTTGCAAGTGATAGATTGAGTTAGGTAAATGTAACAATCAAAACTTGTAATGATCTACTAAATTCTGTGTTGTATATCGTTTTGTGGAATAACCTGTTTGTCTTGACTTGTGAACAAAAAGTGGTATATAAGTTGAATGAAATAACGCCGGGAAATAAAGTTACTCGACTGAATACCATATTAACAATATTTCAGGAAGATACTTGGACACTTGATGATTATGATTGAATGCCGCTTTATATTCAAGTATTATATTCTTTGTAAATGGTTTTACTTACACTAAACATATATAGGTTACTTAAATCTCAACATTATGAGAAAGTAGATGTGGTTGATAGGGGTTTACCGAAACTAGTTGTTTTATAAGTATGGTATAGCTTGTTGAAATAACTGTTATTTAATGTATTCTGTACATTTCTACTGTTTGGAAATGAATACAAACTATAGATGCCAAGAAATGTTGCGCAAAATAATTGAATATTGTCAAATTTTGCACTTGATTTAAGTCTGATTGTAATAATTTGCACTTGTTTATAATCGGTTAATTATGTATTGTTAAAAGAAAAGAAGAATTTAAGGCTTCTAGTATATTGATTATTGTTTGGTTAATAACTGCCGCGTGCAAGATTTGGTTCTGAGGTGCAAAGAAGGCGGAGTGACACTAATTTGACTAATGGATGTTAAGTTGTTGCATAAGTGATGGTTTATGACTGGTTGGTCATAAACCGTTATTACTATTGATATTAAAATATTAAGTAACTTAGTTATTGAGAATTATGAAGCATGTCGAAATATGTATTTTGTATGTTATTACGTTAGCGAGTTGATTTAATGCGAATTCGCTAAAGCAGTTTAGGTTTGTGCAAGGGCTTTCTATGCCACGAATCATGGATTAAATGACAATAGTCATTACTACAAGTGTTAATCATCTGATCAGGCTAATTGAAATGGCTCAGATGAGTGGTCGGTGACTGAGAAAGTGTTGGGCGGTAAAAACTCTTGTCGCAACAATTATTGCATAAAAAAAATAAGCACAAAAGAGTTGAACTCTAGAACAATACATATAAAAAATACGAAATGAATGAGGGAAATTAAAAAAAGTCACGGACTTGATATCAGAAATTCAACTGAAGATCCATTGATGTTCAGCAAACAGCGTAGTGGAGATTATGCGTTAAAATCAGGATAAACCTTATTGATCTAAGCGGGATATTTTTTAGACCACACTCAAAGCAAAGAATTAACCACAACACAGAGGGTAAACAGTGTTAAAATGAGTAATCTCGTTGTGTGTGTGTGTGTGTGTGTGTGTGAACCATGACTGCAAAGTTGGACTTGACTGAACTCAAGTGATTTGACAAAACCACCTGAGGATTTTGTAGCGGTTCATGTCATTTGCATAATTGATGAATTTGTCGTGAAATTATGCACCATGAAAACGAGATATTTACATATATAGACACATGTAGACAAACATTCTCCAGTTAATAAACAGATTAGTAAGATGATATTTAATAATAGATTGATTTGTGAGTTCATGAACTATTGACTAACTTATCAATGTAACTGGGAACAGCCGACATATTTTAATTCGAGTGGTGATTATCTATCTTTAATTGACAATTAGAATCGTAGTGATTATTTTCAACTTCTGATCATGTCGACTATGTTCTGGAGGTCTTCATATATGTAGTTGAGTAGTGGTTGTACAAGTTAGGGATTTGTGAACGATGATGTTTAATATGGAAATGTGGATTTTGAATGACGACGCTAAATGTTATGTACACATAAGTTGAACTCATGGGTAATCTATTTGTCAGTGAGAATCGATTGAATTAATCACTTACAACTTGAACATAAAGCGTCATATGTGGTTCATAGATGATGATGATGAGTGAATGAAATTAATTTTTGAAGTGGTAGTGAGTTATTTATTGAGGAGGTGTTGAGTTTCACACTGCATATACATTTAATATGAACCATTTAAAAGTAGGATATGAATAAAGAAAGTGTAGTAGGTGATTTAATGTCAATGAAGTAGGCACGTTATTTTTTATTAAGATAGTAGTGCCTCTTTATGAATGGCTATCCCCAATATTGTTGGTTATAAGAGTGCATTGTTTAGTTCAGAACTTCTGACTGAACTGACCTAATTGTGCTATTTCGGTTAAATGACAAATTATCCTACTCTGTCTGATTATGTAACTGTTTAGGATTATTGTTTTGGGAATAGTTTTCGTGATGTACCTGCTAACTTTAGAGAGTAGATTGTCATTCTGATTGATTAGCATTACGCGCATTGCTGATAGATAATGCGAAATAATCACCTAAGATAAGTCCGAGTATTCAGTTCATCAATAAGAACTGTCCTGATAATCATAAACGGATATATAAGATTGTAAATAGCTCCGTGTTGGTCGTGATGCTGCATCAATCAGAATACGGTCGTGACAGGTAACTGTGAGACTAGAGTTACAATGATATTTCTTCATGCAGATATAACAATCATGTTTAATTATGAATGATCGTTTAGTAGGGATTTGACAAACGGTATCCATTGCTATGCAACCCGTTCGGTACTATCTGAACACAAGAATGTGTAGTTGCAAATGGAGATATTATATATGGAAGTGTATGTATGAAGTGCTAAACTCCAATGATTATTATTATTATTCTCATTTCTTTCTCTTGTTCAAAATGTAATTCGATTGAGTTTGATAAAAGTTACTTGTAAGTGGTTAATCGATGTGACAGCACAAAAGTTTGTCGATGACTGAACCTTCAGTGGATGATTATAATTTCTATTAATTAGAAGAGATGGACAATAGTTTTGCGATAGTGCGATGAGGTGATGCTTCATATGAGGTTGTGATTATTAGGTGATGACTTCATTTTAACAGTATATTTGGTTGAGGAGCTGGTTGGTATAGTAAAGGATTGTTGTGGAACATTGTGAATTGATATTAATTTAGCATTTCATGTGAAAGATGGTAGATATGAGAACGAGAAAGTTGGGGTTTTTGAGTAACCCATTAAGTTGATATTGATTATCATTTGTGGAAAACATGGAGAGGAGATTGAAATGAATAGGCTATTTAGGAGCCCTATTGTTTTTGGTATGTAGTGCTGCGGAAGTTTGAGTGTTTTAGGTGTGATACAGTGTAATTAGATTATTTTAGATTAATAATTGGAGATAGGTGGCCAGAGTGTGTATTCCTGGGAGATTGACCCCAGTAGTTTTTATTCGAATGTAACATGTCACTTAAGATTACAATGCAAAGACCAATTTCTCTTCTGTCTGTTACTACTCTAGTTTCGTGGACATCGATCGAGGGACCTTATGGCTTGTGGTGTTCTTTCAGCATGGATTCCTCACTATAATTCGTTTCAATTGGAACTGAATCAATTCGTGTATTTTTGTGAAGCAGTAGTCACAGTGTGTAGTTGACAGACTCTAATTCAGCCTATTACCAATTCTTCAGTCCAATTTGTCTTTTGTGTACAAACCTACTCGATCGGAAAAGAGCTTTTTTACTGTAGTTCCTCTATGACTTTTCTACTCGTTTGACCTGTTGTTACCGTTGCTGTTATGTGATCGGGTTTTCCTATTTGGCTCTAAAATAAATTCGGTTTGTCTGTAGTTTTATTTGTGTTGAACGAGTGGATTGTAGGTGTGTTTATATTTGGATTTAGGGTTGAAATGGTAATGAAACAGCATATTTAGTGAGAATAGAATACTTTTGCGTACACTGAATTGATGGAGGTTGTATAGACTTCAGTGAATGTTTCTTGACTTGACATTGATGGTTTTTATAAAAGTAAAAGTTGATGGTTCTTTTCTCTTATTATTTGTACATAGCGTAACTACAATAATACAATATCCTACTAGGCTCAGTAAGATCGTTGAGGTTTTTTTTATCGACTGTGGAACTTGTAGTCGAAATGAGAATTCCGACAACGATAGGATAATTAGTCAAGTTTTAAATTTGAATGGAAGGATTAAGAGTTACATGTGAGCAATGCATTAGTGTAGGTCGGTATAAGATGCAGTTGTTTGCATTAACGTAATTTTGACCTTTAAGAACTACCCTATAAGACTAGTAATGTACGTTCTCATTTAAAGTTGTCACGGTTCCTGTAAAAGCATTTTAATCGGAGCGAATTTGTTTCCTTACGAACTTTTGATTTGAATTTCATATTCACAAGACAGTCAAGCGACGTGAGAAATTCGTTGGTTGGGTAGCAGGTGATAGATGTGCGTTCACTTACGATCATGGCGATAATATATTCGAGGTTTTCCAATTATATAGCCATTGAACTGACTTCACCACTGGACATTCATGTACTATCCTTCCCTTTAGTGGAAGAACTCACCACAATAATGTGGTGAGGCTATAAACGCTCGACCGTGTGAAGCGTATTTTATGGAAAATAGCTGCGCCCATCAAGTAAAAAAGAATATTACAACTGAGCTCAGCTCAGGTCGTGTTGTTATTGTTATAGACTCATGCGTAGATCATATTTAGTCATGAAAATGGTAAATGAAGGAAAATAGGCCTCGGAACGTAGTGATTGCCTCGGTGACGAAATGAATTATAGATGTTAGTCGTTTATTACAATAGTTTCATTGTCGGTTGATCATCTGTTATTACTTATTCCAGTCCTTAGTTGGTATGTTTTTTTTTCTGGACTGACGAACTTAGTGTTAGCTAATTTAATTGAAGTTTTCAGCATTTCATTGTTTACAAATAAGGCTCTGTTGTTGAGAGTATTTTTTTTCTCTAAAGATATTGATTTGTTATGCGTTTGAGCTGGACCGAACTGGAGACAAGTTTTTTTTCTTTTTGTGTTTAACGAGTAAATGAACGTTAAGTTTTGTCAAATTAAGTAACGCTCATGTTAATTTGCAAGTGATAGATTGAGTTAGGTAAATGTAACAATCAAAACTTGTAATGATCTACTAAATTCTGTGTTGTATATCGTTTTGTGGAATAACCTGTTTGTCTTGACTTGTGAACAAAAAGTGGTATATAAGTTGAATGAAATAACGCCGGGAAATAAAGTTACTCGACTGAATACCATATTAACAATATTTCAGGAAGATACTTGGACACTTGATGATTATGATTGAATGCCGCTTTATATTCAAGTATTATATTCTTTGTAAATGGTTTTACTTACACTAAACGTATATAGGTTACTTAAATCTCAACATTATGGGAAAGTAGATGTGGTTGATAGGGGTTTACCGAAACTAGTTGTTTTATAAGTATGGTATAGCTTGTTGAAATAACTGTTATTTAATGTATTCTGTACATTTCTACTGTTTGGAAATGAATACAAACTATAGATGCCAAGAAATGTTGCGCAAAATAATTGAATATTGTCAAATTTTGCACTTGATTTAAGTCTGATTGTAATAATTTGCACTTGTTCATAATCGGTTAATTATGTATTGTTAAAAGAAAAGAAGAATTTAAGGCTTCTAGTATATTGATTATTGTTTGGTTAATAACTGCCGCGTGCAAGATTTGGTTCTGAGGTGTAAAGAAGGCGGAGTGACACTAATTTGACTAATGGATGTTAAGTTGTTGCATAAGTGATGGTTTATGACTGGTTGGTCATAAACCGTTATTACTATTGATATTAAAATATTAAGTAACTTAGTTATTGAGAATTATGAAGCATGTCGAAATATGTATTTTGTATGTTATTACGTTAGCGAGTTGATTTAATGCGAATTCGCTAAAGCAGTTTAGGTTTGTGCAAGGGCTTTCTATGCCACGAATCATGGATTAAATGACAATAGTCATTACTACAAGTGTTAATCATCTGATCAGGCTAATTGAAATGGCTCAGATGAGTGGTCGGTGACTGAGAAAGTGTTGGGCGGTAAAAACTCTTGTCGCAACAATTATTGCATAAAAAAAAATAAGCACAAAAGAGTTGAACTCTAGAACAATACATTTAAAAAATACGAAATGAATGAGGGAAATTAAAAAAAGTCACGGACTTGATATCAGAAATTCAACTGAAGATCCATTGATGTTTAGCAAACAGCGTAGTGGAGATTATGCGTTAAAATCAGGATAAACCTTATTGATCTAAGCGGGATATTTTTTAGACCACAATCAAAGCAAAGAATTAACCACAACACAGAGGGTAAAGAGTGTTAAAATGAGTAATCTCGTTGTGTGCGTGTGTGTGTGTGTGAACCATGACTGCAAAGTTGGACTTGACTGAACTCAAGTGATTTGACAAAACCACCTGAGGATTTTGTAGCGGTTCATGTCATTTGCATAATTGATGAATTTGTCGTGAAATTATGCACCATGAAAACGAGATATTTACATACATAGACACATGTAGACAAACATTCTCCGGTTAATAAACAGATTAGTAAGATGATATTTAATAATAGATTGATTTGTGAGTTCATGAACTATTGACTAACTTATCAATGTAACTGGGAATAGCTGACATATTTTAATTCGAGTGGTGATTATCTATCTTTAATTGACAATTAGAATCGTAGTGATTATTTTCAACTTCTGATCATGTCGACTATGTTCTGGAGGTCTTCATATATGTAGTTGAGTAGTGGTTGTACAAGTTAGGGATTTGTGAACGATGATGTTTAATATGGAAATGTGGATTTTGAATGACGACGCTAAATGTTATGTACACATAAGTTGAACTCGTGGTTAATCTATTTGTCAGTGAGAATCGATTGAATTAATCACTTACAACTTGAACATAAAGCGTCATATGTGGTTCATAGATGATGATGATGAGTGAATGAAATTAATTTTTGAAGTGGTAGTGAGTTATTTATTGAGGAGGTGTTGAGTTTCACACTGCATATACATTTAATATGAACCATTTAAAAGTAGGATATGAATAAAGAAAGTGTAGTAGGTGATTTAATGTCAATGAAGTAGGCACGTTATTTTTATTAAGATAGTAGTACCTCTTTATGAATGGCTATCTCTAATATCTATGTTATCTGAATTATTGATATACCTTCTAATTCCTATGTGAATTTCACTGTTTGTTCCATATCTGTGTTTTTGTTGCTTTGATGATATTGATTTGTAATTTTATAATTTTCTATTATTTGCTATGTCCTTACATGATCTATAGTGTTTAATTTCAGAATAACCAGTTATTTCTCTTATTTCTTTTTCTTCTTGTTTCTACATTTCTGTTTGCTGAATTTTTGTTTTCTTTCTGTTTATTATTATTAAGAACTATGAGATAAGCTATCTGTTCTAATGAGTCTAATATTGATTGTGTATCTATTTTTGTTTCTAACCTTTAGATTCATAATTACTCATTATGAATATGGGTATTTTAGTTCTATTATACCTTTTTATTTCTTATTTACTTTATATATATATATATATTATAAATATATAATATATATATATATATATATATATATATATTCGTATGTTTTCCATGTTGATGATTATCATTGTGCTTGTTTTTCCATTATACTTTTGTAACATTCATTAAGATCATAATAATAAATTATTGTTTATTTATAGTTTTTTTTTGTAACATCCAGTTTCCTTTATGTGTATTGATGATAATGTTGTGAAATCTTCTCTGGTTTCGACTGTTGCAGTTTTCATCAGTTGATCATATTTCTGAAACGGACGTTATCATAGTTCATCTTAAGTTAAAATACTTCACTTATATTAGATTTATACGAGTATTTAAGCTGATATATATATTGATATATGTTGATTAGTAAATAATGCCAAAACAATTGTAATTTGTATATTTATCGATAATGTTACTTAATTAAGATTCAATAATTATCCATCATGTTGATGGAGACGAAATGTTTAGATTTAGTAATAGTATGATTTTAATTAAATATAGTCTAAAGGTTAAGCATTCGACCACGAAATGGATAGATCCTTGGTTCAAATCTCATGGATGTGCACTGCTGAAGAGTCTCATAATAAGACGAAATAGTCGTTCAGTGCTATTAGATTTTCCATGATGGTCTTAGCTTCAATTGACTTATAATTTCAACTATTGAAAATAAAATAATTTCTTCATAAAAATGTATCACAAATAAAACTAGACAATATAGACTACTGGATAATTGTAATTATCATGTGTATATTCAACTTATCCTGTTATGAACATGTGAATTCCAATAATGGGAAACGAATTATTGACTTTTATTCCATCATACTTATTTGCAAATGAAAGAAAGAAAGAAAAAACACACATCTATTTTGAATAAACACACAATAACATTAATTAAGAATAATAAACAGAATCAACAAAGGTTATGTTAGTTAGACAATTCATTCACTCATCATATTGTTTATAAGCTTATCAAACAATCAACCAACTATGTTAATGAATTAAATCAATGTGAATCTTGTTTCTTCTTAAGCTGATGCAGAAACCAATAGATGACGAGGAACACTAGAACTTTTTCTTTGTGGCCAATAAAGTCTTCTAGTTGCCATTGGACCAAAAGTTTCAAAATTCAATAGACGTTCTCTTTTAGATGATGAAGCTTGATTGATTCGAGTCATGGTATCGTTTGTATTGGATTTTCTTCCAATATCATAATGGTTACTTGTTGATTTCTTATATTTTCTCCGTCCATTTGGTCGTCCATCTGATCTACTTATCTGATCGTAAAAGCACTTTTCTTGAACGTAATATTCACCTCTGAAATTAGAATTTTCGCATTTTAAAATGAATTCATAGACATCTCGAAATATGCAAAATAAAGTTATATCTAATTTAAGATCTATGATTAAATTTCTTCAAATCAATGGAGTATTCTTACAAATAACTTAACTACATTTCAATCATAACAATTTCATCATTTAACTAATCATGTGTTAGATTAAAATGTAGATGTAATGACTAACAACTATATGAATTTGAAATGAATCATTTAGTATGTAGTTACATTCATAGTAATCATATTAACATCTTAGCGCTATTATTCAAAATATGTAATGCCTAATAATATTTGATAATTCTAGTTGTAATTGTTCCATAGAGCTTAGTTATCATTTCTGTTCTGTGTACTGTATATCTGTATATAAAGATTATCTTGAATCATTACACATAGTATTAGAGAAGTTAGGTCATTGAACATCGTTAATGGATTAGAATGGAGTAAGACAAGTATGTTATTTTAATCATAAAGACGATGAAATATGTACTAAGATGGGAAGGAATCTAGTGTAGATATTCGTCTAAGGTAAATTAACGTCCCATACGTGTAAACAAGGAAAGCTGACCGTTATAACATATTGCCGTGAAATTCCGATAGTGTTCAATGTATTTATTCTATTACATTTTAACTTAGTGATCGTTTCTTATTTTTGGCATATCACTTTCCGTTTACAATCAAAAACTTTTAACAATGCATAAAACTAAAGTTTCTAGAAATATCTTTGGGGAGAGAGTTATAGGTTACTAATATCATTCTTCACGTACACGAGTGAGTAATAACTAACTGAATCATTAAAATTTTGTACTGAATGAGAAATCTTTACTTCTGTTTATGGATACTTTTTGGTTCATTGTAACTTATTGAACGGTATCGTTTAATGACTGTTGTTAAGTCCATGAGTACAGCTTCCAAATCTAATAAGTTTTAAATATTTTTGTAATAAGATTTAAGATGAATGTACCAGGGAGGTCCTACTCACTGCCTTATCGCGGCATTACTGTTGTTTACGAAACTAAGAGGACAAAAAGCGAATATCCGGTTTGGTGGACACGGTGGATTTACCTAGGGGAGATGGAAAACACTGATTCCAAACCAATGGTGCACATGGACTCCAGTATCCTGAAGGAACAAATGGCGTGCGAACCTATTGTTAATTACCAGCTACCATGGGACTGCATCTTCCAACGTTGGTCCACTGCCTTGTGGATTCGACCTCTAGGTTAATGGCTCGGGGGGGGGGGCCTCATAAGTAAACTACCTACTTCGTTTTGAGTTCCCGGCCAGTATCTCAGCCCTCACACACATCGAATGACTTATGTGCCACATATCTATTTGGTGCCTCTTTGTACCAATATTTATATGTTTAAATAAAATAAATAAGATCAATAAGACTGCGAAACTATAAAGGCAAATTGTCTTCAATCAGTTTCTCTGTTTCTTCCTTGAGTTCGTTAATTAGTTTTGAAGTTCTTTCCAGTAGCCCCTTTCTTTGAGATAGTTTTATTTTCGGTAATAGCAAAGGACATAAAACTTATGCTCACTTATATTTCAGTGATTAAACTCACTTAGATAGAGTTTCCTTACTCTCAGATGAACGTTTGTTTTCAGAAATGAGAACGTTTGTGATATTGGCCGTAGTAGAACTAACTACTCCTGAAGGGGATTCCCCAGATGAAGTATTTGGATTAGTTTGTAATATCGAAACGTTATTTGCTGCCGTCGACGGTATTGGCCGTTCGCCAACAGTTTGATCTACCTCCGAGTTCTCTTGACTCACTGAATCTTCATCCGTATTCAAGTTCATTTTAGCCAACTCGGCTTCTAGTTCAGCATTTGCCATTTCAAAATCATATGGTTTAGTGCAATCTATTTCTTCTTTCAAGTGGAGAAAAACAGAAATGAGTAAAACAGTATTTTCCAACTTCATCGCGTATACTGACAGACATCATACACATAGTGCCTGTCATAGGTGTGTTGACCCATGTTGATATATCAAATAAGCTCGACGAGATAAAGATAACTAAGGAGATCGCAATAATTTATTAGCATTAATAAAAAGTAAGACCCAACCTTCAGAATGTTTCACAAGTCAGCAGAAAAGAATATATGATGAGGTACTAGAATTCGTGATCAAGGAATGGATGAAAGGTAGATGTATCTGCGCGATTGTAAATGATTATTAGTCATGTTACCCAAAGTGTCCGACCACTAATCGTGGTTACCACGTGAACCCCAACCAGGTAGTCTACATCTAATTACATGGCTTAGACCAACATTCAGTGACTTTATGAACTGATGCCGCATTTTAGTTTGGTCATCCCCAGCCTTCCAATTTGTGTTTGTACTTGGACGCATCGTTCGTCAAAAAAGACGGTGGTTAGACACGCGTAACACATTTCGATATAGATTTACAATTTCATTAAATAATTTACTACCTTTTCCAAGAACCCCGTGTTTAACTTTAACATTGCTCAATCTGTTGTGATATGTGCTACTGATGCTGACAGATATTAGTAGTATATATCATCAATCGATGGTGGAATGCCTGACGGCAGAAAGTTGAGACGATTGAAGAGAAGAGAACGAGGACAGAGAGTGATTGATGATGGAAGTGAAGGAACAACAAAGTATCAGACAATTGATATATTTGAAAATGAAATATTTACTGTGTGGTTCTCAGATTTTACTAAAATATTCCGTAATGTATTAAAATATGTTTGTTTGTTTCCGCCTATGTTCTCGTTCACTACAATGCCTTTAAGATGCATATGATCAAAAAAATCCTCGGCTTACTCTTCCATCGGTCAATTTCGACAACGACAGAGCAGAAACAAGTGGTTTGCTGAGTCGTATGTACGCCCGCTATTTGACGGACGAATATCTCGCCTAAGCCACAAGTGATCAAGTTTTCAAACACCAATCAGGCTTTCTGATTGCATGCCGAGATTTTGTCAGACACTAATTTGATGTACGAAACAATTTCATACTACTATTAATTTTATATTTTTGTTCAGACTAAGCTTATTCACAGAGAAATGCATTAAAAAGCTTAGACTACGAGTTATAATCATTTTCACTAAATCTGGTAGTTTATTATGTTGGCGGACAAGGTGGTATTTCGGTTCAAAAATATGAACTGTCGTTCAAACAGTCTTTTCTCAGTTCAACTAAGTAGGATCACTAATGTACTGCAGTTTTGAACTCGTAAAGTACACAAGATTTGTAACTTACTTTCTGAAAATATTTAACTTACCAGATAGAACTTTAGGATTACTTCTTTTTGATTTTCTTTCTGTCACCCGGCGTCTGGTCCCTTTAAATCGAGGAGCCATAAAACTGGTCGATCTTTGTTGCATAGTTGTTGCCATTTCAGGAGATAAATAAACATACATTCCATAAGGATTCACACTACTTTGAATATGTTGTTTGTAACTACTGTTTGGAATCCTCATAGGTCGATTTTGTTGTTTTTTTAAATATCGTGATCCTAAATGGCCAAATTTAGGTGGAATAGAATTATTCAGAAGTCTAAATGGTGGGTTTTGTACGGTCAGAGGATAACCAAATTTGTAAAAGTTTCCCGGGTGTGGAACAACTTGAAACATAGGCATGTAATTCCTTTGTTTTAGTAAAGGTTTCACATTACGACTTCTACGAGAGTACGAGTTCAGTATACGTGGTTGATGTACGGTACGTTGATTTGATGAATCTCTACAATTATTCACATTTAATGACTCTTCAGTAGTTGGCTTATTTTTAAATGAACTTATTCCCATGAGATGCCTTTGATTTCTAGGAGCATAACACTGTAAAGGAGAATAAAGGAAATTCAGATTGATCAATTATTTTGTTTTTCTCAAATTTCAATTATTCTCTATGGTATAAAAGATAATCGTTTTATTGATTTTTAATCATCATAAATAGAATCATCGATTATGTCTCCATTTAGTTATTTATATTAATTGTAATTTATATTTGTTAATTAAATCAGTATTAAAGAATATTGAAATTCAATGTGCATTAATAGGTTATCATTGTATCCGGTCGGTACCTAATTGTATATACTTAAGTTGTTGTTTTTGTTTTTTCATTTTTCAATTTTACTAATTTCCAACGTATCATTAGGCTTTAGTACAAATGGAAAATATCTTATGCTCAATTTCACTGATTTACCATATACAATCATACTTTATTATTCATATTTCCACTTGGTGTAGTTAGTGGTGTGAAAGATGTAAAATGATAATTACAGTAAGTATTGAAAAAAACCCATTTGAATGAGATGTTATGTCAGTCAATCAGTTAGTTACAACGTAGGATCAGGCATATATATGCATCGGTCCAAGTTGCCATACATCATTAGTACAGCAAAACGAACACCGGATTCATAGAACTAGTTAATTCACAGGTGGTAATATATAAAAGAAAGATTCCATATAAGGATATAGTACAGGAAGAAAGAATTAGTTGGTAGAAAGAAAGATATGAAGCGATTTTAATCTCATAGTGTAAAGGAAGACAGAGAGTGTATACACCAATGCCATTGTGATCGATTCTGAGCCATGTCACGCAGAGTCTCCAACCATTGGTTACGAAAGTCACACGGACCCCAACCAAGTATTCTACATCTACCAACATGACTCAGCTAGAAGTTAGTGACTTCAAGCACTGATGCCACGTTTTGGTTTGGCTTCCCCTAACTTCCTTCCAACCATTCCCAACACTGGTCAGCATTGTAGTTGAAGGTTGAAGATAGGTAAAAATATCAACAATTATATAAGCTGTGAAGTATCAGTATAAGATTGTGGAGATTATTAAGGTTTTTGATCGAGATCATGAACCGATTGATGTTAGACCACAATCGAACACCTGGAAGCAATGGATGGCCGTTTCGTCTTGTGGGTCTCCTGAGCAGTCAGTATCCACGATCCGGCTCGCGGCCGTTCTGTACTTCCAGGTTTTCGATAATGGTCTAACATCAATCGATTCATGATCTCAATAAAAAAACTGTGAAATATTTGTTTTTCAATTAATTCTGTTGAAAGTCCTCATTTTGAAGTAAACTACTTATATTTTTAAAGATTATATAAGGATTAACATATCTTGTAAATGAAGATGTATAAAATCTTATAGTCTATGCTTTTCTAAGTTTTTCATGCATCTAGATCGCATAATTGTAAATTGGATCATCCTGTTGTGTATTGTAAATAAGGACAATCATGATATAAGGTAGCTTTATTTGTACACTCAGTTAATTGTTCTTTATACTTCATCTAAATATTTGAGGAAGAATACTTCGGGTTAAAATGCTGCATAGTAATTCTTAAGCATGAGAGTTCTGTACTCGTCAAGAGTAATTATATTCTATTTTATTCCAAACAGCACTCAAATGCTTTGGTACGGTCGAGAATGGGGAGAATCAGCTTTCCCTATCGAAATGTTCTCACATGGCTACACGTATATAACCTCTGCCAGAGAAGTCCAAGTCAGTGCCTCCTCGCGCCACGAGTGTTGTTTACGAAATTGAGAGGACGAAATGTGAATATCCGACGCTTTAACGGCGTTGATGAACACGAAGGGTCCGCGTAGGGGAGTTATAAAACCCTGATTCCAAACCAATGGTGTACATGGGCCCCAGCATCCTGAAGGAACAATTGGCTTATGAACCAATCGTTGGTCACCGGCTACCATGGGACTGCATCTCCTGAAGTCACTCCACTACCTTGTGGATGAGATCTTTAAGTTGAAGGCTCCGGATGTGGCTCTCTAAGAAAACCACTTGCTTCGGTCTGGGCACCCGAGTAGTATCCCAGCCCACACACAAATCAAGTGACTTGTGTGGCGCATATCTATTCGGTGCCCCTTCGTACCAATATTTACGTGTTCAAATAAATAAGTCTTTTAGGAGACAATTCAAGTATTAGACTATATTCATATGACCTTCATTGTTTGTATTTAGTTCACACTATATCTGTATTTAAAATTAATCATTGGTTTACTTTCCAAATTTGGTCTCTTTGTAAAACTCGTATATAATTTCGAGACGATAGATTATTTTTATGCTCAACTTGTCTTATACTTTTACCAAATCACTTTTTATAACAGTAAATACTATATTTTCAGAAGGGGTTTTTGTGGATATTATAGTCATTTCAATAGTTGAGATCATGAGTGAATTGAAGTTAGACCATCATGGGAAACCTGAATGGCTGTTTCGTCCTATTGTAGGACTCTTCTAGTGCAGTGTGCATTCACGATCTCGCCTCAATAGATTCGAACCCAGTACCTTGGATCAAACAGCCATCCAATGCTTCCAGGTTTTCTATGGTGATCTCGCTTCAATTGATTCATGATCTCAATTATTGAAATTACTACATTTTCAATTGGTGATATACTCAAATCTAGTTCATTTCAATTATTTCATTCGTTCTGAATTCATCACATTGTTAGTTTTAAACTTTGTTCCCTAAAATGTTACGCTTAGCCTCAATAATTTTTTTTATTAAAATGGTTACATTACATATAAATAATACCTTGAGAATATCTTATGTAGATTACTGGTTATTTAGTATTAACAAATGTTTCTCTTTATTGTGTTATACTTCAATGGTTGTAATGTAATATTAACTAAAGTATTGATTCATTAATATGTACTTTACAATTGTATATTAATTTTAAAGTTGATCAATAAGAAGCAAATAACTACAGATTCAAGCCAGTCAGCTTCTCTCTTGAATATATATATCAAAGAAGCTTACGAAATCTCAGCACGGATTCGAAAATCTCGTTTGGCTTTTGCCAAATTACGTCACCTATGCGCGAAGGCGAGATATCCGTCTATCAATAAAAGGATGAGTATACTGCGCTGCAGTCCGTTCTGTTTTAATTTACGGCAGCGTAACATGGCCATTAAGGGTAGAAGACAATCGTAATCTATTAGTATTTGACCACAGATGCCTAAGAAATATTGCTGGCGTCTGCTGGGATCACCGGGTAAGTAATAGTGAGGTTCGAAACAAAGTATTAAGAAATGATGGTAAATCAGTTGATGAGGCTGTGAATCTTCATCGACTGAGATGGTTGGGCCACGTGTTACGCATGCCCGAACACCGTTTACCACCACGTGCAATGCTAACGGGTGTTAGAGATGGTTGGAAGAGAATTAGGGGCGGCCAAACCAAAACGTGGCATCAGTCCACAAAGTCACTAACTTTTAGTCTGAGCCATGTTGGTAGATGCAGACCACTTGATTGGGGTTCGCGTGACTTTCGTAAACAGTGGTTGAAGACTCTTGGTGACATGGCTCAGAATCGATCACAATGGCATTGGTGTATACACTCTTTGTCTTCGCTTAAACTAAGAGAATAAAATCGTTTCATATCTTTTATTCTACGAACTAATTCTTTCTTCTTGTACCATATCCTTATATGGAATCTTTCTTTTATATATTACGACCTCTGAATTAACTGGTTCTATGAATCCGGTGTTCGTCTTGCTGTGCTAATGAAGTGTGGCAACTTGGACCGATACATATATGTGCCTGATCCTACGTTGTAACTGACTGATTACTATTATTCATATATTAAAATTTCATTCCTATTTAGGTATCGTTATCAACATCATCATCATCATTAAGTAATCTTACTGATAGAATTCAAATTATATTCATTTAATGTTTATAAGTGATCTGTGAACAAGGAAGATAATGAATGTTTGTTTGATTAGTCACATATAAGATGAATGATATATTCTACTATCCTTATTATTATTTTTATTGACTGTTGATTGTTTCTTGGATTTTTGGTAATAGAAATATATTGACATTCTAATCTAACTGATCACATATTCTTAATCTATGTTATTGTTGAAGTTTTTTTATAGAATAAGACACATTAAGAGAGAATCTTATATAGATAAGTTATGTAAAGTAAATGATTATTCCATTTATAAATTCACTTGATATTGTTTTATTTGAATCTTCCCATTGATGTTTTAGGACTGAAGTTGATCAGTCCTAAAACATCAATGGGAAGATTCAAGTAAAAACAATATCAAGTGAATTAAACTTCACCCGATTGCACAAGCAAGTGGCTATCAGGACTCAGTAGCTAAGTGGATAACGCGATGGCGTTTGAAGCGAACAGTATTGAGTTCGAGTCCAAGAGTAAACATCAACTCTGAGATGCAGGTACATCCAGCTGACGAGTCCCAAATAGGACGAAACGCGCGTCCTGGATTCCACTGCCAGCCACTATCCATCTCTGCTTATTCCATTTATAAAGATAAAATTGAATATTTATAACAAATCACTTACTAAATTAGTATGCTGTCTATGTCCCTCTTTTTGACTTCTTATTGATGAATTTGTTTTTATCATCAATTTCTGATTTAATTTATATTGATTTAATGGATAAATTTGATTAATACTTGATATCCAAAATGTAATTGAATCAAATATTGTTCCAATTTTTGGTATTTTATTATTTTGTTGATTTGGATCATGATCTGGATCATGATTCTCTTTATTATTATTTGGTGGTATACGATTTTCATAACCAAAAAATTTAACATTTTTTAATATTATTGTATTATCAATTAAATTAATACCAGCTAATAATCCTTCATAACGATATTGAGCATTTGTAATTAATGATAATTTAATACCTAATTTTATATCATTTAATTGATCAATTAATTGATTCATAGTGATGATTAATAAGAATTCCTTTTGTTTGTTTGTTTGTTTATTGTTGAGATGGTTGTTGTTTGTTGAGATGGTCGTTGTTTTTTGGGATGGTCGTTGTTTGTTGAAATGGTCGTTGTTTTTTGGGATGGTTGTTGTCTGTTCAGATGGTTGTTGTCTGTTCAGATGGTTGTTGTCTGTTCAGATGGTCTTTGTTTGTTGAAATGGTTGTTGTTTGTTGAGATGGTTGTTGTCTGTTGAGATGGTCTTTGTTTGTTCAGATGGTTGCTGTTTGTTAGGATGGTTGTTGTTTATTGTGGATTATTTATTGTTAGTTAGTTGATTTCTATTCAACTTGATGAATCAATTAAAATTTAAATAATTGATTTTTTCTTTGTTAATCAATATCAATGATTGATTGATTATATCATCCATTTAATGGGATAAAAAAAAATCAATAATGATATTATTGTATTGTATTTAATATAAAGCTTCTTTTTTTCATAAAAAAAAATCAATGAATAAAATGATGTAATCTAAATGTATGATGATTTCACATTAAATGAAATTAGGAGAATTTAATTATTAATAATAATAAAAAAAGTATTCAATATAGATCCCATTCTGTCTTAATAATAATTATCATTTGATTATTAGTAACTGATATTTCATAGAATTCTAATAAGAAGTGATGATCAACTGTGGAATTTAACTGTGACTAATTTCGTGAAGGGAATTCTCGGAGTTCTAGTAAAGAAGTCGTAATCAGTGGAGCTAATCCATGTCGACTAGAGACAGGTATTTACATCAGTAAAATGAAAAATAGTAGCGCGATTTCGTGAATTAGTTGATGTTAGACACTATCACCATTGGATAACAGCTCATTGGTTCAATAGGTTAAGCGTTCGTTCGCGAGACTGAAGGCCCTGTGTTCGAACCTCGCGTGCAGGATCGTGGATGCGCACTGTTGAGAAGTCCCACAATAGGACGAAACGGCTGTCCGTTGCTTCCAGGTTTCCAAAAGTGGTCTAACGTCAATCGATTGATGATCTCATTGAAGGGAAAAGCGGCGTAATTTCGTGGATTAGTTGAAGTCAGATATTAACATTATTGAATGGCGGCCAGCTTAGTGGTCTACAGGCTAAGCGTTCATGTGCGAGATCGATAGATCTTGGATTCGAATCAAATCTTGAGAGGTGGGATCGTGGATACGCATTGCTGAGATGTCACACAATAGGAGGAAATGGTCTTTCATTACTTTCAAGTTTTCTATGGTGGTCTAACTTTAATTAACTTATGAATTCAACTATGAAATTACTAAATTCTTCATAAAACCCCCCTTTTTGACAAGGAATATCATTCTTAATGTTAAACAATATTTATTCAGATCATAAGAAATTGTTAACAAGTTAAAATTAATATGAAATTTAATCAGAAATAGATTTTCTATGGATGTTTAGTAATTTAATCTTTGAATTCATGAATCCATTGAAGCTTCTAAAGAGTTCCATACTACGACTAAACGACCGTTCAGTGCTTTTAGGTTTTTCATGTTGGTCTAGTTTTAATTGACTCAAGATCTTAACTACTTAATTAGTAAGAATTTGTTTGTATTTCTTTATGACCTCTCAAAAAAGTGTTATCTTGTCTATTCTAATAGATGATTCATTTACTTTACTTATTCAAATATGTAATCAGTTTCTATTTTAATAAATCAGTAGTAATGTGTTGAAATACATTATTAAACAATATAAGTTAAATTTGTCTACTGGCTGAATCTCATGATTGTACTGGTTTATCAATATATCTTATTAGATTGCCAAATAAGATGGTGGTTTTAGGTAGTCGATAGGAGACCCTAAACCTAGGTTTCGTGCTATTTGGCACTCGTCAGTAAGGTGTACCTGTAATTTTGAGGGAATTAATGCCCACCGACGGGTTCGATCTTGTGTTACCCAGCTTCATAGTCAGAGGCTGGGCTATTCGGCACGTAACTGACCTCCTGTAGAACTGAGATGTATTCACTATTTGATTGATCACAGGGGTAGCGATCAATATCATATATGTCTGGTCCTTTTTAGTTCAGATCGAAACTCATCGATCAAGTTTCACCTAGGACTATTTTATGAAGTTTCCATCCATAATAATAATTATTATTCTAACATTGTAAATTGTGTTATTTCGTCAGTGAATTAATGAAATACCTATGGTACTTCTCTTCTTTTTAATTAAATGTTTATTCATGTCACTAGATTGTATGTATCCATTAGTTTATCTAATAGAGGTTAATAATATTGCATTGGTTAAAGTTACACATTAACACCATTGGATGCCGGCTCAGTGGTCTAGTGGTTAAGTGCTCGCGCGCAAAGCCAGTAGGTCCTGGGTTCGAGCCCCTCGCGGTGCGGGATCGTGGATGCACACTGCTGAGGAGTCTCATGCTAGGACGAAACGGCCGTCCACTGCTTCCAGATTCTCAATGGTGGTCTAGCTTCAACTGACTCATGATTTCAATCTGTGAAATTAATTTAGATTTGTTTTATTCACATGATACTAATTAGAATAGTCCTACGTTCTAGCTGACTGAATGAATGAGTCTTTCTTTCTAAATATTTGAGTTTTTATATTCTGTTCCCTCCCAATCTTTCGTTTACTTGACTATATATTATCTCTCAACACTAATGGAGACTGAATAGGTCTAGATCATGGTGATAAAAAATAATATCGTATTATAAGTATCAATATCAAACTTTAATAATACTAGATATTATTGACCATTTGGTAAATGGTAAATACAGCTATACAATCATAAATGTATGTATGTATGCGTGTGTGTGTTTCAATCTCAATAAATGAACCAATAATTATGAAACTACTAAAATGATCTTAGTAATATAGTACAAATGATACATAACTACTATGATTATCAGTATATGGTTGTAGTTATTATTTAATTTTTGATTGAGATCATGAACTAATTAATGATAGACCATCATTGAAAACCTGGAAGAAACGGTCATCCAGTGGTTCCAGGTTTAACATTAATCACTTCATGATGCCAATCAAAAATATCACTGATGTTTTATGAAACATGGTCATTAAGAGTAGAAGACACTCGTAAGCTATTAGTATTTGACTACAGATGCCTTAGAAATATTGCTGGCGTCTGCTGGGATCATCGGGTAAGTAATAGTGAGGTTCGAAACAAAGTATTAAGGAATGATGGTAAATCAGTTGATGAGGCTGTGAATCTTCATCTACCGAGATGGTTGAGTCACGTGTTACGTATGCCCGAACACCGTTTATCACCACGTAGAATGGTAATGGGTGTTTTAGATGGTTGGAAGAAAGTTAGGGGCGGCCAAACCAAAATGTGGCATCAGTCCACAAAGTCACTAACTTTTAGTCTGAGCCATGTTGGTAGATGAAGATTACTTGGTTGGGGTCCACGTGACTATCGTAACCAATGGTTGGAGACTCTTGGTGACATGGCTCAGAATCGGTCACAATGGCATCGGTGTATACACTCTCTGTCTTTGCTTAAACTAAGAGAATAAAATCGCTTCATATGTTTCATTCTATCAACTAATTCTTTCTTCTTGTACTATATCCTTATATGGAATCTTTCTATTATATATATTACCACCTCTGAATTAACTAGTTCTATGAATCCGGTGTTCGTTTTGCTGTACTAATGAAGTGTGGCAAATTAGACCGATACATATATATGCCTGATCCTACGTTGTAACTGACTGACTGACATATTAGAAAGTTAATATAATGGTACATTTAATTACTATCATTGACATAGATGATTTATTTCATTGTCATTTAACTGATGGGGTCATTGGAAATTGATTACATAATCTGATTTTATTGATTTATGCATTAAATATTGATTGATTAGCTTATTTGTTTGCGATTAATCATCGAGTATATTATTAATCGTCTATTCACTAATTATTTATGAAAATCTAAGAGAAACTGATCAGATTGTGATTCTTTCCCACTTCAATTAATTAATATGTCAATATCAATAAGAGATTAATCATTATTGTATCCAAATTCACTTGGTATTGTTTCACTGGTATCTTCCCATTGATGTTTACCAATACAGTTGATCAGTCTCTTTTATTAGCATATGTGCATTTTGTACGAATTGCCTCGATATTCACTTAATTTACAAGCATTATAAGCAAAGATGGATAATGGTTAGTAGTGGAATTGAGGACGCGCGTTTCTTCCTATTTGGAACTCGTCAGCTGAATGTGCATGCATCTCAGATTTGTTGATGTTCACTCTGGGACTCGAACCACTATCCATCTTTGATTATAATGCAATCGTAAACATCAGTGGAAAGATTCAAGTAAACAATACCAAGTGAATTTAAACTTCACCCTATTACACAAACCAATGGTTATAAGAACTAAGTAGATGAGTGGATCACGCGATGATGTTTGAAACGAACAATACTAGGTTCGAGTTTCAGAGTGAACATGAACTCTATGATGTAGGTACATTCAGCTGACGAGTCCGAAACAGGACGAAACATACATCCTGAATTCCATTGATCTAGGCATGATCTATCCAACATTATCAGTTCAATATATATTCTAATACGGGGTTAATGCTATCAAGTTTCATTAGATCTACCATCTTTTAAACTAAATTGAAAATTTACCTTTACAATTGTTATAAACATAATTCAATCTAAACGGATACATTTTGTTTATTTAAGATGAATATTTATAATAAAAGTAATAGATTCTTGAATCGAAATGATCATTATTTTCTTCATTGAATAAAATATCACTTCTTACAAATTATTCGTGTATTCTATTCATGTTACAGGGGATTCAACTAATGTCATATTGGTCATATTGTATTGGATACATATATATATATATATATATCAAATGGATTATGAAATGGCATTACATAATCATTGATTGGTTTACTTGAATAGTTTATCCCATAGATACTATAAATATATAATAAAATCAATTTGTTATATTGTTCATTGTTTTGTTATTATTATTTGTGCTTTATCATTGAGTGAATGTGTTATATTATTGAATTCTTCTTTTTGATATCATTTATCAACTATATATCTCTATAAATGATAGTTGATCAAAGAGAGATTTTTTTTCTTTATCAGTTTGTTCTTTGTAAAGACTTTACACTAACATTTAGGGTAAAGAATAATACCAACACCTTATGAGTGATGATTGGTCTATCTAACTATGTATTTCAATATATTCTGAAGATAAGATTGATTATATAATTCGTTAATGATAACAGCTTGCTACTTAAAAATAACAATTAAGTAAGTTTATA